ATTGCTGTCTTCTGGGTGTTTTTTAATTTCCCAGTCTACCTAAAACCTTGGTATTTCTGAAGGTCTCTAAGCCAAGTCCAGATGAAGTCATCAAGCTGCTGAGAGATACATTTATGAATATATATTTAGATCATTAAGTGATACTTGCAGAGTTTGTCATTAGACAAGCAATTGAGATGCTGGTACTTAAAAATATAGTTGTTATTAATAGACTGATTGACAGGAGATTCTCAGTCATCTAGGTCATGGTTGTCCCAAATGTGCTTTTTTTCAAAAGGCAACTGGGATTTGTTTTTCCTTGAAGATCTGGATCTGAACTGAAGAAGCTTCTTGGATGAGAAGCAAAATGTCTTCAAGGAAAAACAGTCAGTTGCCTTTTGAGAAAAAAAAGACACCTTTGGGATTGATTGGATTCATAAGGCTATCTTGCTAAGCAAGGGTGTGCTGTATTAGGATCTGAAATAGGAATGGAAAATGCACAAAATTTCCACAAAGGATGTGGAAGCTTTTTTTGTCCTTCCCTTATTGTCTTCTTAATATGAAACACATTTGTTTCTGGGTTCACGTGGCTATTATATTAGTCCAGAACAGCGGTTCTCAACCTATGGGTTGCGAACTCATTTGGGGTCGATCGACCATTTCACGGGGGTCGCCAAGCAAGGCTTTCCGCCATTTTTTCCCCTTTTCCGGCGGATGCCTTACCTCCCTTGGGCTGGGCCAGCTGGTGGCCCAGCCGGTGGTCGGCCTGCTCCGTCTCTGCCACTTGCCAGCTACGCCTCAGCCGGCGCAGGGGGCAGCACCACGCATGCGCGGCACTCCCGGGCAGGGAAAGTCCTCGACTTACGACCAGTTGGGTAGTCCTCGACTTATGACTGGTTTAGTCCTTGACTTACAACCGGTTGGGGGTCGCAGCATTAAAAAGGTTGAGAACCACTAGTCCAGAAAAAGGGATTCTTTAAAAAGACAATGACAGGTGCAGTGTACCAGATCATTTTAAAAAAAACTTTCCTGACTTCAGGTCAAATATGGAACACTTTTAACTATTAATAAGATTTCTTCTATCTATTTAAATAACAGCAGTTCTGACTAATGTGCAATGATCTAAATCAATGAACACTGTTACTTTTAACAAATGGGAACAGATTCCTCAATCACTGTGATAATCTATCCTTTTGATTTCCTCTAACTACACACCTACATACCTGCCATGTTGTTTCCTTTCAGGGCATGCAACATTATGCAGAACATAGAAAAGAGAAATGAGAAATAGTAAATCAAAGAAATTAACAGCATGAGATAAGAAAAAAGAGTATAAATCTAATTTACAACAACACAATTCTCTTTGCCTCTTTGTATCTTTCTAACAAATCACTCTTGCTTCTATCACATCTATATGCTGCTTTTATACATTGTCTTTTGTTCTTTAACTTACCTATTTTTCAGGATCTTATCAACTCCATCCAATAATTATTTCTCCTTCATCAGGACCTATTTATTCTTCCTTCATTTAATTGTTTTTCAGTTTATCCTCATTCGTCCTCTTTATATAACCAGTGCTTTTTTTTGTAAAAAAAAAAAAAAAAAAAGGTGCCGGAACTCACACACATCATACAACCTGCCTTGCCTACCCTACAAGGTTCCATCCAAAAAAGGTGCCGAAACTCCGTTCTGGACATTCTATGAGAAAAAAAAGTTCTGTATATAACCAAACCACTTCAATGTCCTTCTTACACTTTTGTTTTCGATCAATCATTCAGCATCTGTTCATGCTTGATCCTTTCTTCTCTTATTTTACCGTACACATTTTTTTACATTTTTCATGGCATATCCACCTTTCACTTCCATATATTAAAGTGCTCATCAGCGCTCCATTATATAAAAACCCATCTTGCAACATACAACATTCAAAATATTATACAATAAATTGATCATAATATATTCAATCTATGCATACTTTCCACTATTTTTACTGGTATTTGCATATTTTAAAATTTCTTAATTTTCCTTCTTTGGTGAACATTTTATCAGCAAATAAAGTGCCTCTAGTTTTAGCCATGTGCCATATAGCATTATTTGCTTCATTATATCACTTGCACATGCATGTTTTCACTTGCAGATACCCATCATCATATCGTATCTTTCCCACTGTTTTGCAGCATTCATTAAAGAAATTTTTTTTCTTATCTACAATGTCTTAGACCAAGATTCCATCAATTATGCTTCCTCCCCCCTTTCTGTTAGCTGAACTCCTGTGGCATTCTGTAACATAATTATTTCCTCCCCTTTCCCCCCTGTTTTTCTTTTAGGTTCACTTTCCATTAATTCTATTGGAAGATTAATTTATCTTCTAGTATATTTTCATTCATCATTTCTTCGCTATTTTTCTTCACTTCTTTTCCTCTGCCTCTTTTCTTTTTTCTATGTACATTTTTTTTCTCAAAGTTGATCTTTGTCATTTCCAAAAAATGTTGTGTCCCACATTCAGAACTTCCCATGATCCTTGCTTCTTTCTAATTTTCATCATAAACAATTAAACCAACTATGCCAGTGATGGCGAACCTATGGCACGGGTGCCAGAGGCGGCACTCAGAGCCCTTTCTGTGGGCACATGGGCCATCGCCCCAGTCCCAGGCCTTCAGCTGGGTTTTATAAAACCTTTTTGCTTTAGGCCTCCTCCGCCGTGTGCAAAAAAAAAAAAAAAAAAGGTTCAATCAATCAGTCAATTTCAACTTCTTGCGGGAAAAAAAAAGATCTTGCAAAGTTGGAATTGATTGATTGAACTTTTTAGTCCCACCCAATCTGCCGTTACCATCGCAGGCATGCCCAGCCAATGGGCCACACCCACCCAGCACCCGACGATGCATAAGTGCGTTTTGGGTTGCAGTTTGGGCACTCGGTCTCTAAAAGGTTTGCCATCACTGAACTATGCTTTCAGATATATAGCCTTTTCTTTGCTAAGGGTACATATGAATATATTTAAATTTAAAACTTAAAATCTTGTTTCAGATAGCCACTCTTAGTCATCTGTTTTTGATATTGCTTCTTATATTGATGAGAGGGCCAACTAGTCATATCATCTAGTAGAATTATCTTTTTCCTTAGAAATTTGAGAATTTTACCCAAACACCTTACCATTTACAGGAGTTCAAAATGCTACTGTCACCAGATCATGGATTTTTACTTTCCTATGCAAGCATAACTAACTAAATTACACCAGTATATGCTTTGTGACATATTTTAGCACTTTGTTTCATCAAAGTAGCATATGGAATGATATGGAAGTTCCTTTGTCATTTTTGTGATTGATATTGAACTGATACTGAAACCAAATTAGAATAGAATAGAATAGAATAGAATAGAGCTGGAAGGGACATTGGAGGCCTTCTAGTCCAGCCCCCTGCTCAAGCAGGAGGACTTATACCATTTCAGACAAGTGACTGTCCAGCCTCTTCTAAAAAATCTCCAGTGATGGAGTGTCCACAATTTCTGGAGGCAACCTGTTCCACTGGTTAATTGTCCTCACTGTCAAGAAGTTTCTCTTTAATTCCTGGTTGCTTCTCTCTTTGATCAGTTTCTAACCATTGTTTCTTGTTCTGCTCTGTGGTGCTTTGGTAAATAACATGACCTCTTCTTTGTGACAGCCCCTCAAATACTGGAATACTGCTATCATGTCTCTCTTATTTCTTCTTTTCTTTAGACTAGCCAAACCCAAGTTCTGCAGCCATTCTTCGTATGTTTTAGTTTCCAGGCCTTTGATCATCTTAGTTGCTCTTCTCTGAATTTTTTTTCCAAACTCTCAACATCTTTTTTGGGATATGGTGACCAAAATTGGCTGCAGTATTCCAGGTGTGGTCTTACTAGGGTTTTATAAAGTGGTACTAATAACTAATACTTCACGTGATCTTGATTCTTGATTCTATGCCTCTGTTTATATAATCCAGAATTGTATTAGCTTTTTTGGCTGCTACTGCATACTGCTTTCTCACGGTTAAGTGATTGTCCACTAGGACTCTAAGGTCCCTCTCACAGTTACTGTTTTTAAGCCAGGACTTTCCCAATCTGTACCTTTGATTTTTTCTGACTAAATGTAAAACTTTGCTTTTCTCCATAGTGAAACTCATCTTGTTGGATAGGGCCCATTTTTCAAATTTGTCAAGATCTTTTTGGATCCTGAGTTTGTCTTCTAGAGTGTTGGTTACTTCTGCCAGTTTGGTGTCATCTGAAAATTTGATGAGGTCCCCTTCTGTTCCCTTATCTAAGTCATCTAAGACTACTGGGTCTAAGACGGAACCTCGTGGTACCCCACTGCTTACTTCCCTCAATGTGGTTGTAGTGCCATTGAGGACTACTCATTGAGTACAGTTTGCCAGCCAGCTACAGATCCATCTGGTGGTGATGTTGTCTATTCCACCTTTTTCTAGCTTGCCAAGGAGTAGGTTGTGGTCTACTTTATCAAATACCTTACTGAAGTCTAAGTATACTATGTCACATGCTTCGCTGGTCTATTGATTTAGTCACTTTGTTGAAGAATGAAATAAGATTGGTTTGGCATGATTTGTTTTTAACAAACCCATGCTGGCTACTAGTTATAACTTTGTTTGCTTCTAGTTGTTCACAGATCTGTTTTTTGATTTTTCTTTTCTAGGATCTTCCCAGGTATTGATGTTAAATTGATTGGTCTGTAGTGTCTTGGGTCCATTCCCCCCCCCCCCCTTTTTGAAGATGGGAACTAAATCAGACCCTTTTCCAATCCTCAGGAATATATTAGAATATGCAATCACAGAAATGAGTAAAATAATTCTTCAAATGTGTTATTAATCAACCAATCAATTTTGAGGATAATAAAAGGCATGTAGAAATTGGTTTTGTGAAGAAATCTACATTTCTCTGAAGGTATAGCTATTGTACTAAGAATGCAAATTTGGTTAAGAGTTAAGGGATATAATTAGGAATTTAATAAATTAATCCTTTTTTAAAAACATTCTGATGTTCTTTTACAGCTTTTGTCAACAAGAAAAGTTGCCAATTACATTCCAATCATGTGTGATCACAAAGGAATGCCAGGTGTCAGAATGGTCTGAATGGAGCCCGTGTTCCAAAACATGTTTTGATATGACATCCCCAAAAGGGTATCGTACAAGAACACGGACAATCAAGCAATTTCCTATTGGCAATGAAAGTGAGTGTCCAAACCTAGAAGAAACAGAACAGTGTGTAACTCAAGGAGATGGAGTGACTGCTTGTATCACGTAAGTATCGATATATCTCAAGATCTTTAGCATTATACAACCTTGAGGTTCATGTTATTCTGGCATTGTGAATGCTTAAGTGATTTAAGTGAGAATTCCAAATCCACATTTCTGTTGAATAAATAATGGGAGGAGCCTATAATTTCTCTGCTTTTAACACAGATATGTATGCACATTCTACATCAGGGATGTCAAACTCGCAATGTCACGTGACGTGTTGCGACCTATCACAACTTTTTTTCCATTGCCGGCAATGGGGTGGGCATGGTTTTGACATAATGCATCTGGCCCACGGGATGGCAGTTTGACATGAACTTCTCTTATAGTGTTGAAGGTTTTTAAAGGGGTCCTGTGATGCAGGAAGGAATGGTGTTGTTATAGCTTCCACAGTACCAGAATAATTTGCACCAGGTTTTGATTCAGGTACTGTTTGCAAGATAATAATTTCCTGTTTCCTTCACTGATGTCTAATACAGAATATTTATCACATATTTTTAATACAGAATTTGCTTAGGGATAAAATTATCATTTTTGACCCTTTGGAGACAAAATTGTGGCCTGAGGAAATGTTCCCTTGATATTTCCTTAAAGTATTCTTTCAGTAGAGCATTTTGTGGCATTTTTTTTAGCTTCACAAGGATGATTGAGATTTAACTTACTGGAAATATTGTGCACTGGCTGATCAGAAGCTCACACATCATTCATCAGCACTGCTGGGTTCAGTAGGAGCCTTCTGCAGAATTGATTATCATCTTGACAGAAAAAAATGTAAATAGGTTACACACAGAGAAACATACATTTCAACAAAGAGAAATAGAGGATGGTTCCATTTGTTTTTTTTTAAATGTAGACATGCACAAATTGTAAAAAAAAAAAACCTAGTATATAGGTCACTTATCAAAAGGAAGTTGAGGTTTAAAAATATTTTTCCTTCAACTATTAACATTTTAAAAGCATAGGTATCTTGAATATTATTTTATATTTGGTACCATTCGTTAATTTCAAATTATGATTTCAGTTGTACAGATCCAGAATGTTTTTCCTTTCAAGCAAAAATTTGTAGTAGTAGTTGTAGATAATAATATTTTATTATGTGAACAATTATCTGATTTGGACTAAACCTCATATTTTTAATATTTTAGGCTTAGACTAAATAATGTATCTTATGTAATATCACTCATAATTAAATCCTACTGTAATAAATGAGTATCAGGAAATTTATCAGAAGATTATAATGCTCTTTGCACATAATTCCTATTTTAAATCGCTGGGATTTTTCTTGACTCAGTTACCTAAGCCATTTCAATAGGATCTGCATTCAGTTTAAATAATTATTCACTTTTATTAATTTTATGTTAATTAATTATAATTTAACAACTTGTAAATACAAATGGTATTGAACAGGTTTAGATCTTAAAATACTTCAGAATGGCTTGTGATATCACCAGTTTGTGCAGGTCCCAAATCCAATCCCTAAAAAGAAGGTCTGAACTGAAGCTGCCATAATAACATTTTTTATACAATTACCCAGACTGAAAGTATATGAGGCCAAAATAATACCACCAATCTATGGCTTCCAAATATGTTCAAGTCATTTCAATAGGATCTGAAGTTTAATTAATCAGCTTGATTAATTTTACAGAATGTGACAACCTGTTGTAACTAACTGCAAATTCAGTTCTAACAATTAAAACAAAAAATAATTATTGTTGCTTACTATATTGGAAAATGTTTCTAAATGAGAGTATTATCATACAGTTTCCCTTTCATTTGTAACTTCCAATGTTTTCTTAGTTTTTTTCCTTATGAGTAAGTAATAACAATTGTGAAGTGAAAAGGGAGAGCAATTTGATCAGTAACATTAGGAACCATCTTTCTGTAATGATTCTTCATGCAGTTTCATTTTGCATTTATTGTTGTTGTTGTTAATTGCGAAGTCGTGTCCAACCCATCACGACCCCATGGACAATGCTCCTCCAGGTCTTCCTGTCCTCCACCATCTTCTGGAGTCCATTTAAGTTCACACCTACTGCTTCAGTGACTCCATCCAGCCATCTCATTCTCTGTCATCCCCTTCTTCTATTGCCCTCAATCTTTCCCAGCATTAGGCCCTTCTCCAGTGAGTCCTTCCTTCTCATTAGGTGGCCAAAGTATATATATATAATTGTTGTTGTTTAGATATGGCTGGAGAACCACGGAATGGACAGAATGTCGCATTGACCCTTTACTCAGCCAACAGGATAAGCGGCGGGGAAATCAAACATCTCTTTGTGGAGGTGGGATTCAGACCCGGGAGGTGTATTGTGTGCAAGCAAATGAAAATCTTCTCTCCTATTTAAATACACTCAAGGAAAAGAAAGGTATGAATATTTCATTATTATGGAAGCTAAATCTCCTAAGGTAGATTTTATCATTCTTTTAAAACTATATTTCATTTCTAAAATATATTTTTGATCTTTGACATTATGAAAACCTGTAGCACCATGGTTAATGTTAGCTAGGAATCAAAAAAATATGGTTCACATATTTCATTTGCCTGCCACTAGGGGTGTCTATACAGCATGGTCAAAAAAGTTAAGATGATACCCATTCCATTTTTTTTATGTGTCACACATAAAATAAATTTTTGATAGCAGCCTTGTGACCTGCCATCTTTTTTCACCACACTTGCAGGCTGCCATGAATTCAAGAAATAGGTGGGAGGAAAATCATACTCTTTAACTGCAACCTGTCTGGTCTCCTCATGTGCAGTGGTAGATTTTGTTTGGTTGTCCCATCAGTTTTTAGTTCTATCAGTTTTTGCATGTATTAGAACTATTCTTTAGTCCTACCCAGGCATTCCCCTGGATCTATGAGAGTTTGAGCTTAGTTTCACAGACACAGACATACACACAAATTGCAGAAATACAGTGTAACTCAGTAAATGATCCCCATTTAATTTTGTGAGGAATTACATAAGAGAATATTGTGGGAGATTGTACTTATAAAAAAGGCAGCCTCCCCAAGTGTGATACATAATAACAACAGAAATCCTAAAATCCTAAAATACAGTCCTAATATATTAAGGAAAGTGTACGAAGGTGGGTTGTGATCTAAGTAGGAGGAGAAATTATATAGTATCACATCATAGTTTGTTTTTCCTATAACATTTTAAAATGATTTCTAAATTGCAAATTTTAATCAATGAACCTGGTTTACAGCTTAGAATTATCTAAAACATTCAGATTATATAAGATGCATTATAAGATGTACACACACACATACACACACACACACACACACACACACACACTGCTTAAAAGCCCACAGTCCAACCCATTTCATATAATTCAATATATAATGTACTTGGAAGAATGTCTAAAAAACTAGGTAGCTAACTTTCATTCTAATACCTATCCTGATTTAAGTCAAAATAGTATACATTTTGCTTACAATTTCTATACAAAAGTAATGGAATAGTGTAGAATATTTGCAAACAAAGCTACAACAACAACCAATCAAACCACTCACTGGGAGAAATATGTTTGTAGGAATCAATCTGCTTTTAATGTGGGAATCTGGATTTCCATATTTAAGATCTCTTTGTTTGCATCAGTTAGAATAAGATTTATCTTAATTGGGCTGTAATAGGAAAAACAAAAGCCTGTTTGGCCTTTCATTTCTGTGAACCAGAAGATGCTTTTAAATATAAGAAATCATTGATTGCTTATAGAAAGGAACCTTTTATTTCCTCAGAGATTCACTAATAAAAAGACAAACATTAAATTTACAAGTCTTCAGGGAGCAGGATACTCTCATTAGAGTTAATTATAATGGGATTCCACTATGTTTAATTAGAAGGGGGAAAGTGCCTAAAATGGATCTGGTAACAAAACAGTAAGTGTGTCCTATTATTCCACTGAGAATGCCATATCTCTGGTATAAGCTATGGGTCAAATGCAGCATATTTGTATCTAGGTCTACCCCATCCTTCTCTGGTATTCGTGGAAGTCTTTGTCCACATTTTTTTCAGAAAGTCAGTCCCAGAGAACATCAAAGACTAGTGCTGCTCCACTTCTATCCATCACTTTTGAAATAACAGGTACGTAATTCACCCTGAAGGTCCAATCAAACATCTTTTAGGACTTATTTCTCTGTAGGTGAGTAGATTTTGGGGTTATAATCACAGGTTTATTAAAGAATTTCTCTGCTTCTGGAATACCTGAGTTTTCAGTTTAAAGAATTAAATGTTATTCATACAAATATTAAACATGCATATAATTACATTTCGGCATTAATGATCCGATATGCACAGAAAAGGAATTTTAATATTAAAAATTAAATATATTGCTAGCAGGCTGTTATAGAAAACATTAGAATGGGAAATTGCTGGCAGGCATATAATAATTTAGTGGCTTTTACTATTTTGGGTGTTAAAAATTTGTAGCATTTATTTAAAATACTTGAAATTGTTTAACATACTTAGAGTGAAATAAGAACAAAAATGGGAATTAAACGAGTAAAAACTGGAATATTAGCAGTTGAAAAAAGGTAAATATAATGATTTAGCTTCTTCTGGGTTTATGTCAACATGACATAAAAGAAAAACTAAAAAGTTATTTTATGTATATCAATACTGGAGCTTGACCTATACAGAAAGGGAATCATTTTAGAGGGCAGTTACTGCTTTAGAGAAGGTTTGTCTTCATGTGGCCACCAAACAGCATCTACAGGCTAAAGAGCAGAGAGCAGGTTCGATAAATTTGATTAGGTTTTTTTAGGCAACCGGTTCCTAAATTGTTTAGGAATCAGTCAATCAATCAATAATAAGTCTTAGTGACAAGCTGGCAATCTAGACATATAAGGTGAAATAATCCAAATAGCATTTTGGAGGTGGCATTTGTCACCGGTTGCAGTTTCCAGATCCATGAATCTCATTGTCTCCTCAGAATGCTCACTCCACCATCCACATTATTAAAAAATGGCACCTCACCAAAATCTTTAGGTTTTCTAGATATTTCTGAACTTCCCACAATGCAATGTAAATTTAGCCTAGAAGAATTCATTGGATGTGTTTCAATTAGAAGAGATTAAAGACAGAGGTTATCGCTTTCTTGACTTTTGGGGGATTTTTTTTTTTTTTAAGCAAAGCTATCTTTATGTTAACAAACAAAACACTTAATGTTTTGTCTTCTCTTTTACAGCTTCTAAACCTGTGGATTGGAAACTGTGCACAGGCCCTATTCCCAGCACTACCCAACTGTGCCACATCCCATGTCCTATAGAGTGTGAGGTATCAGCTTGGTCAGCATGGGGGCTTTGTACCTTTGAAAACTGTGAGGACCAGCAAGCCAAAAAGGGTATGTAGATTTTTTTAAAGCAAGTTCCGTTATTTTTGCTGCATATTTAGTTGAAGCAGCTTAACGGATCCATAGTTTCTTATGATTTCTTTTCTGGATCTTTTTATAACTCATGGTTTTTACAGTTTCCCTTTCCATTTATTTTGATAGATTATATATCTCTATGAGTTGTATTCTACATTATCCAAATAGTATTTTCATATTTGTCTTTGAAGATCTGCTAACAAAGAAATGTCACATTCCGGAGTTTGATGTAACTAATCCTGGTGAATTGTAACATTGAAAGGATACTAATTCCTAGCTCTGAGCAGTAATAATTACTTATGTTTCTCTCTGGAACTAGAGCTCGTTCTTTCTGAGGAAATTGAAAAAAGAGGAAGAGGAAATTGAAAAAAAAATATCTAGACTTCTTGTAATACCTCCCAAGGACAAAAGGACAGAAGCCTAATTGAGAAAAATATAAGCAAGCAAATCAATATAAATATTTCATTAGTACTTTTGTGACAGTTATTCTAATAAGAATAATTATGGGATGGCAGATCCAGACCTTCCCTCACTTTTCCTCTAGAGAGATCAAATTGTTTTAAATACTAACTTTAGAAAGGCAAGTCTGTGAATTTTTACATAGCGATATAGAGAGAGGTATTACAGAATTGTCCTTGAGTCCTTATCCTCTTGAGTCTTTGAACTGCCCTGTTAGGTAGTTGAAAATTATCCTGCTCTCATTATTTTTATTATTTTCATTTTCTGCTGCTTGTAAAGTATTATAATCTCTATAAATCCCTTTGTATCCTCCTTCAGTATTTATCATTCTTAATCCTCTATCTTTCCATTCTCTATCAGTGTTGTAGCTCTACATTTTTGAGGTTTTCAAAATATTCTTCTCTTACAAGTTGGTATTCTCTTCTTTCCCTTTTAACCTTTCAACCCAACCTTAATGTTGGTTTTTGTGCTTTTCAGACTCAATTTATTCTTTTATCCCGCAACAAATTTTCTTCCCTCAGAAAATCTAGTAACTACTAAACCTCTTGTTGTCATGATCCATAATTGGGCTAAACAAGGTATCATAGGGCAACAATTTTTGAACCAAACCTAGCTCAACTGGGTTAACTTAACAGAATGTGTCCGAAATTTGAGATCAATGAAGCCCAAAGGACTGAAATTTGGGGAAGTTCTATTGCTTCACACTACTGGTGACTGCTACTGTTGTTGTACTGCTGAGGTATTGCTGGCATCACATGATCCTCATTTTCAATGTTCCATGACAATTTTTCAGTCAATCTCACAATCCCTCACTTCTTCCCCCAGTTTCAGTGTGTGTGTACCTGCATACCTTCTCCAGTCCATGCTACTCTCCTTCACATTCCTTGACCTGTGCTGCCTCCTCAGGCATCTTCTCTGACCTATACAGTACTTCATACAAACTAATGCACATCCACATTGAGCCATGCAGCACCTCTTCACACTCCCAAGCAACTCTAGGCACCCTGTCAGACTCTTTCCACTGCCCCCTGCCCCATGTGCTATCCTCGATCAGAGTAGCACCTCTCAAACATCTATGCAGCTGCCATGCATTCTTCTTGACTTGCACCATCCCCCACATGCTGTGGCACCTCTTAACACATTCTTCATGTTGTTCGTGTTACCTGAGCATTATCAATTGTATTCATGCTTGCTTTGAATACATGGGAAATCCCTAAACTTTGGTTATATAATTGAAGTATCACAGTTCAGACCGGATTAAACCCAGGAAGACAAAAGGAACAGATCTTCATAACCCACTAAATGGGTTATCAAATGGCATTTTCTTTCATTTTAGCTTTCTCCACAGGGCTGTTGTGAGAGTAAAAGAAGTGAAGCTACAGTGATTGATTTACTGCTTGTCCCTTGGGCAACAATAAGGAAACATTGGTGTCCTCTGTGATTGATATATTATTGGGATTTTGGGGGATAAAGAGTGACACAATTACCTTCCTAGTTGTATGATATCATGCAATTATAAGAAATAACTTACAATAGCTATTTGTAGGTTATGGAATTTAAAAGTGGATAAAATCAATGCTTTTGTTTTATATGTAAAACCAAATAATTGTTCCTTATTTTGGAAACTTAAGGTTTTAAATTAAGAAAACGTCGCATCAAAAATGAACCCACAGGAGGCACTGGCAACTGTCCCCATTTGATTGAAGCGATCCCGTGTGAAGAGCCTTCTTGCTATGAATGGAAAATAGTGAGCCTGGATGAGTGTATTCCAGACAATGAGAAAGATTGTGGACCTGGTACACAAGTGCCTCAAGTAGTCTGCATCAGCAGCGATGGTAAGTTGTCTAGTTAGATCCTGTGGTTTGTCATTCATTGATTAGGGTTCCCACCCATTGCATGATAACCATATATCATGTCTTGCATATAGCATTAGATAGTTCTATTGTCTATTCTATTGAAATTGTCCATGAGATTAGAATAGAGTTACTATGAGGATATAGAATTAATACTAAAGGTCTGAAATGACAATATGTTGAAGGAAACCTAAAACAACTACCCAGTTGCGATGTGGACCTCTGGACCATGGATATATTTTTCTTCTATCTTCTTAATCTTCAACTTCTTAATCTTAAATCAATAACTGTGAATTAGAAATTAGTGTAAATTAGACATACATTGTGTTATGATTCTGGCTAATGAAACACTTCAAAGAACTTCCAGGCATTGATTTCCCTAAAAATCTTTTATTGATTCAAAATGTTGGCACAGGCATAACAGAGTCTATGCTAAGATCTAAGTTCTTTTCCTCTGAGCAGTTAAATTATCAGCATGTTCCCTCCCTAAATTAGCTGCCATATATCACATTATCCAATTAGTGTGAAGGTCAAAGGTTTCCTTCCTCTTTCTTTCCCGGGCTTTACCCCCACCCTCTTCTGCTCTGTATTAACCCCAAAAATACCAGACAGTTCTGCATATTGTCAAAGCAAGAATATACAGTATTTGCAGTGTTGACACATTGATTGTTCACATTCTAAAATTTAACAATAGATTTTCTGTTTTCAAGAAATTAAAACTGGATAGACATTAATTTAAACTATGAACAAGCTATGGATGATCACTATAGTTTATCTTTGCCATAAATGAAGCATTTATGCTGATGTCATGGTAGTTTGATGGTTGTCTCCTGGTTTCTAAGCTAGCACCTCAACCTCTACACCAAATAGGCTCTTATTCCAATATAATTCAAACAGAATGGAGAGTACTACTTTATGTTTGAAAGAAGCTATTTTCACAATATGGGGGCCACTATAGAAAAGGCTTGGCAGCTTATTCAGGCTACCCAGATTTCAGATATAGGAAGGGAGACTCAGGAAGTTCTTATGAGATGTCCTTTTTACTCTTTATTTATTTTCTGCATTGACAGTGAAATTGTAATCTACTCTCTGATATTCCTTCATACACTGCATTTTGTCTACTTCTTGTAACAACTGTCTAGCAAACTATTATAATTATAAGCAAATGCAGACAGCCTTCTTAACCATTGCAGAGAATTTTGTTCTTAGTGTAATTGTAGAAGTTAGATTCCTTATTACTTCTCCCACATAATATTCTTAGGGAATTTATAGCTGCTGCACCAATCTCCATAGTTAAATTCTTTTTCAAATGCCAGTTCTTCAACAGTAGTTTTCCAGTGGCTGCATATACTGTATAAATACATAAATATATGGACAACCATCAAATGGTAGTCAAGAGATTTAAAAAATGGTTCTAGTGGACATAAATTAAATAATCAACCAGTCAAAAAGATCTAATTTAGACCAACTGAAAAAAATGTTCTGTATAGAAGAGACATAGAGCCCCTAAACTTCTACTCCCAAATCATTTGCAGAACAATAAGAAAATAGGAAAATGACAAAACCATAAATCAAAGTGATGATCAAATGTATCTGATAGTTAAATACAGAATATTTATGGGGGAGGGGTAAAAACAATCATAATTAAATCTACAACCACACAATGAAATCTTATCCCACTTTTATGTATGATGCATTGTATGTGTCCCATCTAATTACTGGAATTCCTTAGAAGTGTTTTTGCACAAACAGAAGCTTGTTGTAAAAGCTGAGGTCATGAGCGCTTCTGATAGTAATGTGGTTGGATGGTCCAACTGTCTGTAAAATGAAAGTGATTGTACAAATCACTTCTGAGCCAGAAGCCTTGTAAATGCTTCAGAAGGTTGAGGCTAAAGGTCACTCGGTACATATTTAACTGTTCCGCCAATGTTTTACAATTAAATTGAGAAGAGGGAATTGAAGTTGATTAGTGGTGCACACAGATCTGTAATGTAGTCTTGTTCTGTGGTTTCAGATTTGACTTACAGCTGAATTGGGTCTCATTTAGGGAAATTAAGAATTCAGTTATAAAGTTTATTTTTATGTAAATAGCTAAGCACATATTTTTCTTATTTTTTGTCCTTACATATATATTTTTAAAATAATATAGGCAATAGTCTAATATAAATAAAGTATACATTTGACAGAATATAATGATTCCTTGCTTGCCTAGTTGATTGCTGCTCTAAAAGATGATGCAGAAATCCAAAGCATATCTCTATCTTTCATACAAGTGGACATTTATCAAAATATTACAAATCAATTTTAGCATAAAAATGAGTGATTGAAAGAAGAACATTTCAAATGACTATCAAATACACTAAATATGTTAGGAACTTCCAAATACAAAATTGTCACTTTTTTCCATAAAAGCTTGGTGATATAACAAAGAAGGAGAGGGAGAAACTTAATTTTTCAAAAATAACCATTCCAAAACAGGGGATTTGGAGAAGGGGAAGAAACTATAGTAAATTATCTGCCTTGTTGACTGCAAAAAGTTAGGGAACTCTTTTTTTAAAAAATTTCAAGTAGTTTTATGATTTGGTGCCAGTGGCAGCAAAAGTAGTGGCATGTAGGTCTATATTACAGACTCAGGATATATCGACTTCGCCTTTTGCATGTATTTCTAATGTCCGACTTTTATAAAGTAGAGCTTTAGTACTTTAAATGCCTTGAATGCAACCCTACTGAGCTTTTAAAATGGTAGTTAACATGTAATTTTTTAATGTAAAGGAAGATATAAATTATTAAATATTTATTGGAGAGTAATCATATTAACTGCATTTAATTGTAATTGCAATTAAGTATAAATGAACAGAAAACACATTTAATTTTTTCAAGTAGTGTCATTCTATTTCCTCTCTTAAAACTACTAATAAAAAATAAGTCATGATTTTCTCCCAGAAAAAAAAATGTGTGCATTCCTATTATAAAGTACCCCTTGCTTTAACTCTGTTGGGTTTAGTGGTGGATGAACATTTCACATGGACTCAGGATTCTAAGTTTGCCATTTCAATTAGCCATTTCTTTCATTGCATTTTCTGCTGAAATACAGCTTTTGGAAATATATAATGATGGAAACCATAGATATCATCTCTTCATCATCTCTATCATCTCATCAAAAACAACATTAACTGTACCAAATTTTTCTAGTAATCTAACTTTTAGTCTTTCCATGTCACTGAAACTCATTGGAATTTCAGTTATGAATTGGTTTGGAGGATGATGTATTAATTATAAGTCAATGTGAACAACAGCCTTTTACTCATAACATTAATTGAGCTACTTAACAAATGGATAAGAGAAAAGGTTTCATGTGTAGCTCATGTTTTGGACTGTTCATCTAAAATATAGTTATATGAATATGTAGATATGGTTCTTCTTCAACATTTAAACTAATTTAAATCTTCAACATTTAAACTAATTCCGATTTTGTTTACCCCTTTAATCATTTCTGTCCTCCTTGCCTAATAATGTCAGATTATTATTATTTTTTCATATCATTTTCTCATGTACTGAAAAATAAGAGAACTAATAAGATTGTAGCCTTTGGTATTGCGATTGTTCATGTCCATACTTTAATAAAGGTAGACTAATGAATACAATTGTTTATTAATTTGCATAAATACATTAAATATTGTTCAGGACATGTTACCTCTAATATTCATCATCTATTGAAATAGTAATTTGCTTTACACCAAGTTAAACTATTTATTTTTTTTCAGCCAAATGAAGTGATGATTGTCAGATATCACACATTTTGAATAGCATGCTAACTTTTGAAACCATATCTTGTCTTGCCTATTTGCTTAACGGGAAAGCTCAAAATAAATAACATGATGTGGAATCTTCATTAGAAAAGAATATATTTAGTCCTTCATGTTGCTGTAAAAAAATTGAGGCAGCTATTTTAGATTCTTGCTTAATTGTCCTTGTTTTCATCCAGCCACATTCAATGCCTTTATGCCATGCAATCTTTTGAAAGCAACTATTTCTGAAGAGAACATTTCCCCAAAAGAGATGGTTAAATGGTTAGGAAGAGAAGGAGCAGAGAGAAAGGGAATAAAATGGGGAAAGAAACTGCCAGCCTTCTTAAGTCTCTCAGTCTCTCTCTCTCCCTCCCGCCCACCATCCCTCCCTCCCTCCCTCCCTCCCTCCCTCTCTCTGTGTGTGTTTATTGGTTGACAGTGGTATTTTCCTTCACCACCTTCTCTATTTTGTCTTCCCCCCCCCAGAGAAACCAGAGATAATCAAAAGAATGATTCCATCTCTGATGTCCTTTCACAACTGTGATAGGTCACAATGGCTGAGGAATTGGTTTGAAATTCAGCAGTCAGATAGTTATTGACATACAGTCCTTTAAGTTTAGAGCATATGCTTTGAATGCACAATTTGCAGATTCAGATCAAATCCTAGGAAAATCCCTCTAGAAATTTCAGAGCACTAATCACTTGCATATGCATATAACTGAACTAGATGGAAATATTTCTGTATTGGTAATGAAGAAGGGCCAGGGAAGCTATCCTTCCCTCTCAAGTCTAAGTCCTATTTAGCTCCTAATGACTTTAGATGATATATATTCTGAGGCTTGAGACTGTGTGCAAATTATCTGTGTTGAAGTCTATTAAGGAGTTTGCCTAATTGTTGCATATGATGCAGCACAGCTGTGCATGGATATAAGGAAAGTGGTAACGCTTGATTCATAGTCAAGCTTTCACTGTGGGCACTGCAAAGGATCTTTACTTAAAAAGCTTTTATCTGAAGTGATCTTGGTTTTGTTACCTCTTCCCAGAGCTAGTAATGCATGTAACTTAATGAGATTACACACAGCAAGACTTTAAAACCAAAACCTGATATAAGACACAGTCAAAGAGATATATGTTCTTTTAAGTGTCATTGTAATTCTCAGCCTGTTTTTCTGCCCCAAGCTTCTTCGCAGCACG